GCATCTCCACATCCCCAACAGTTATCTTGTGGTCCGGGAAGTAAATACCTTCCTGCAGCCGTCTAAACAGACCAGAGTTCCTGAACACGCGAGCGTCATGAACCTTGCCCGGCCATCCGACGTAGATGTTTGTAAACCGTCCCCGATGGTCCACCAGTGCTTGCAGCACCATTGAAAAGTACCCCTTTCTATTGATGTACTGGCTGGCCTGGTGGCCCGGTCCCAGGATAGGGATGTGAGTCCCATCTATAGCCCCACCGCAGTTTGGGAATCCCATCGCAGCGAAGCCATCTATGATGGCCTGCGCGTTTCCCAGGGTCACTACCTTTGACAGCAGTACCTTGACGATTGCCTTGGCTACTTGCATGACAACAACCCCCACGGTAGATTTGCCCACGCCAAAGTGGTTCGCGACTGACCGGTAGCTGTCCGGCGTTGCAAGCTTCCAGAGGGCTATGGCCACTCGCTTCTGGACAGTCAGGGCTGCTCGCATGCGGGTGTCCTTGCGCTTCAGGGCAGGGGACAGCAACTCACAAAGTTCCAGGAAAGTCCCCTTCCGCATGCGAAAGTTTCGCAGCCACTGGGATTCATCCCAGACCTGAAGCACTATGCGGTCCCACCAGTCCGTGCTTGTTTCCCGGGCCCAGAATCGCCGTTCAACAAAATCCACATGCCCCATTGCAAACGTGATGTCCTCGGCGCTGGGTGTCGTGGTTTCTGACAGCTCTGTGCTACTCTCCGACTTCAGGCCCTCACTCCGCTGCCGTAGCCTCCTCGCCTGATTTCTCTGCATCTGCCTCTGGGAAAGGTGTATGATAAGGTGCGAGGCGTTGAGAACGGCCACAACTGCAGCGATGGTCGCAGCGGGATCCATGATCGCAGTGCTGTGGCGTCCGCGCTGTCACTGATCAAAAAGTGCGCGAACTGATTTCCCGCCGGCGCTTTCAGGGAGGGAGGCAGGGCGGTAGTGACTGACGGATGACGACAGTTACCCAAAAGCACCCTCGCCACAATTTTTTACCCAGAAGCCATTGGGGGCTCGACCCAGAATTCCACTGGGCAGCGGGGACTGCGGGAACTGTGGGATAGCTGCCCACAGTGCACTGCTTCCAATGTCGACGCTTTCCCTGGTAGTGTGGACTGACAAAGTCGAATTACTGTCCTTAGTGTAGACACACACGTTCGACTTTCTAATATCGATTGCACATATTCGATTTAACTAAAATCGAACTACTCTCGTAGTGTAGACATACCCTTAGTGTCACCCTTGCTAGATACAAGGGAAAGGGGCCAGCTGTGGCACTGGAAGAAGGGCTGTTGTACTGCAGGAGCCATTGAAAGGTTTCTAAATCCAGCTGAGTGCAAGGAGCACCATCTCCATCTCCATTGTGAACGTTAGGGGACTTTGAACCAAGCCCCCATGCAGACAGCAATCTGTAGAGATAAAGAAAAAGTGAGGTTTCTTTTTTGTGGGAAAGTGTTCTAAGAAAATATGGTAAGAAAGCTTTGGAATTGTTTACTTTAAATAGGGGTAAATATTTTAATACACTTAAAGTTGTTTGTGTTCTTTTAAAAGTCCTGCTTGTTCAAGTCCAAGCAGCCTGGGTTTTTCTTCCGTACTTGCATATTAATACATCCTGCAAGTTGATTTGCATATCAAGCCACACCCCCAACAAGCCCCTCCTATGTAAAATCCACTACAGCTTGTGCCTGATGGTAGCCCCAGTTGTACAGATGCACAGTTTGTGGATCATCATTGCTCTCAGACGTGCCTTCTCAGTCAGAGAACAAAAGGGTATCATTAGAAATACTAGAATGTTCACCAAGCTTCAGAAGAAACATCTGTTGGGCTGCAGCTACCCATAATAAATCCTATTTTGATGGAAGCAAGGGTCTGATCCTGCACCACGGGTTAATAATGCTTTTACCATTCATGGGAGCAGGATTAGACCACAGCTCTGCATTTAGCTCTTCCTCGTGATAAGGTGTTTTTGCAGCCCATTTGGTTCTTTTAGACACTTTTCTGAAAAAGTACAGTGATTTGGAGGTCTCCAAGACTTCAGAGGAATGTACAACCTCTTTCAACATCCATCAACAGAGGGCAGCCCTTCTACTGCATGTATTGGCTCAGATAGTCAGGTAAGGCCAAGGAGCGCACAGTGCAGTTCAAGAGGGGACGTGTAACAGTAGCCTTTGCACTTTCCTGATATGGGGCTAGACTCCCAGTGTAATATTTATGCTGGTACCAAGTATCAGAGGGGTAGCCATGTTAATCTGTATCCAAAAAACAATGAGGAGTCCGGTGGCACCTCAAAGACTAACCGATTTATTTGGGTATAAGCGTTCATGGGTAAAAAACCCACTTCTTCAGATGCCGGAAGTCATTGGGACATAAGGATTTCCCAGCCACACCTCTTTGTCAGCAGGGGCTAAGGGAATGCTACCTAGGTTCTGTGCCACCACAGGTTTTCCCCTGGTCTAGGGTGATGCTCCCAATTCCACCATGCCAGCTTTCAAGCTGTTTTGGGTTGGGGTGTACTGCAAAGCAGCCACAGTCCAGCACAGCATCTAGACAGGGTGAAAAACAGATGAGGAAATGACATAAATGTTAATGTCGTGCAAAAAGTTTCTCTCAAACTAAATTAAATACTCATGGTGCCCTATTTTAAATGCTGAGATAGTCCAAGACATAACTTTGAGTTTAAAGTACAGAGGTTACTAGCATCGTCATTTTCAGGTTTGAGGTTCCCTAAGCCCACACCATTTTGAATAAAATGTTAATGACTGCAGAGGTCTCTCTCATTTTTAAGATTATCTGGTACCTTGTCCTGTACAGCCCAGTAATCTTAGCAGCCTTGCCAAGGTGCCATGAAAAAGCACCAGCCCAGACAAAATCTAACTGCCTGCTCTTGATCACGATGAGTGGTGATAATGAAGAAAGGTGCTGTAGTCATACACAAGAAAAATTACGTACTCCAGGCAAGTGGATAAGTAGGATTTTGCAAGACCAACTCCTAGTTTTCATGAGTCATAGTGGCTGTAGTTCCATGCAGATCTGTTTTTTACTAATATATCAGAATGAGCTCTAGTGTGGACACAGTTCTACCAATAGAAAGATATACCTATATTGCTTATTTTGCTCCTGAACCAGAATAAGCTAAACCTGTATAAGTACTTTTATACTAGTACACTATGCTCAGACCTGGCAAGTTGTACTGCTTTAAATATACTGTTATATAAATTAAACGTTTATATATATAAATATACGGTTATATTTAAAGCAGGACAGATTTGTATGTGTAGGCAAGCCCTACTAGGAGAATTAGGTCCTTAATTTTTATATCGAAAGGGTCAAACTTTTATCTGAATTAATTTTCTTGCACCATGAAAGCATTGCACCAGCAGAGCTATAGTTATGGTTCACACAGCATTTTCCTACATATTAATTACTTTCAAACTTATTACCTTTGGGCTGAAATTTCTCATGCTCATTCTCATCCCAGAAGACTGACTGGGCATTTTTTCTCCATTCCTTAGCACCTTGTGCAGTCATTTACCCGGTGTAAAGCTACCCTTCTGATCTGGTAGCATTTTGTACTCACTTAAGTGTAAATGGCTACACATAGTGCAAGGCAGCAGAGAATTAAGTCTTGTGAGTTTTCTGGTTTGTTTGAGTAGGTTGAAGAAAACCTATTCAGGTGACTTTAGAGTTAACTCAGAATGGAAAAAGTTTTTCGATCATTTAATAAAAAAAAAAAAACCCTCAAAATCATGCAGATACTGTCCTGGCACTTGGATAATTCAGAAATGGTTTGGGTTTAAAACTTTTGACTTGGCAGGCATGTAGTCGTCAAGGAATGCATGCTTTGCTCAATCTGGAAAAAAATTAAGAAATTAAAAATGAAGGGAATTCTGTTCTGGTATAGATGAAGAACAGTGTAAGGGCCGAGTTCTCCATTCTGTTTTTCACTGAGAACCTCTGCTGAATATTCTGAATAGAGCTGGATGAGATTTTTCAACCCAAACCTTTTTTTGGCAAAAATGAAGATTTGACGTTATTGAAACATTTCGCAAATTTGTATCTGTTTCACTCAATTGTTTTGGTCAGGAAATACCTTTTAAAAATTCCCCAAAAATCAAAATGTTTTGTTTCAACATTTTCTTAAATAAAACATAATAACTTTGTTGGTTTGAAATTATTTTTTGTTTCAAAATGTCCTTTAGAAGGCCCTGCTGATGTGGTTCTGCTGTGTGGGAGGGAAAAAAAAGATTTAGCGAAGTCCACATAAGGGGTGCGGAATCTCTAAGCTCCATAGGGCCCAGCTGCTCAGTGGCTTTGCAGCACAGATTTGGGAGTGAAGTGGGGCTGGGAGATCTGCTTTTATACAGTTATCCTCTTGCCCTCCCAGGTCAGATGTGAGGCAAGCACTGAGGAGGTTGTACGGCTCCACTGCTGCTCTGTGGCTTAGTGAAAGGATTCCTTTTCTCCTAGCCCATGAGGAATACCCCCTCATGCAGTCTGGCTGCCAGTGCTGTGTGTCAGTGTTAGGATTTGGGCCGAAGTGGATGCGAAGTATAGTTATGCAGCCAGATACACACTGCTGCAAGGTCACTTATGCGTTCTTGGGAGGTGTGAAAAATTACTGATGAAATTCAGGTATAGGCTTCCAGCTCAGTTTCTGATGCTGCATTTCTTTACTCTGATTACATAGTTGATGCACTTCTTCAGGAAACCCGCTCCACATCAGGAGAGAGTATTTTAGGGAAGGAATGGAGAAAAGAAACTAATGCTAGGAGTATCTATACAAATGTGCAATTGCATTCAAGAAACAGAGTTATGCCTCCATTTCCCCATCTGTACAATAGGCATAATGATCCTTACTCTCTTTTGTAAAAAGTGCTTTGAGATCTATGGATGAAAAGTTGCAATATACAGTAAACACTAAATATTGTGATATTAAGTTATTAATATGTGGGGGTATTTTTCTTTTTGGACACAGGAGCTGTGAAGGGCGAAACATTAGATACAGAACATGCAGCAATGTGGTAAGTGAACCTTACTTATGATTGTAATACTAATAACATTTATTTGTAATTAATATAATTATGTAAAATAAGTAAATAATAAAAATTGGATGGTAGTACTAATAATGTAATTATTTAAATAATGCTGGTGCCATGGGAATACTGTTATGTACCTCACCATTTCTAGAGCTAATTTGGAGGGTATGGAGCAGGTGTGGTAGAACCATGATACTAGCATCATTCCAGCCATGATTATTTACTTCCTTTATAAACTGGACTGAGCCATGAAGCATGGAGAAGTGGATTCACTGTTCTGTATAGTTAGTTTGGTGGCAGAAATGGCCTGGTCTTCTTCTAGTCCTTACTTTGGTAAAACTCTTACTGACTTCAATAGGAGATTTGTCTGGCTGCAGGACTGAGCCCTAAAGGACTGACTTCCACAGAGAATGGGAGGAAGTTGGTGACTGAAGAGAAATATGTGTGTGTGTGTGTCTCTCTCTCTCTCTCTCTCATTCTTCTGTTCCTCCCCAGGGTTGAAATCCCTTTGAACATTTTATTAGGGTGTTTTGCGATGGTCCCTTGCATTCACCTATAATATTTTGCCATTGTCTGCCATTCTAAAGGTTTTCAGTTCTAACTGGTAGTGAAATGCAGTTTTCAATACAAGAAAATAAGCATCTCCAACTTCTCTCAGCAGAACAATAAGCTATTTACACTGGTGAAAACAGAAGCAAAGACTATAATGTGGAAAGTCTTGTATTATGCTAAAAATTGTAAAAATTCCAAAATTACCTGGGTCAGCATGTCTTTCATTGGTAAAAATGGAAATTAAAGCCAGTCATGCATCCGGTAAAATTTTCACACCTCACAGGGTCAGATGCAGAGGCCTCTCAATGGGAGCTATGTCTGAGAAACAGCAGGGTAAAAAACTGAGTAAATTCCTCTGGATTTGGCTCATGTTTTTCACAGAACACAATTCACAAAGAATTGGTCATTTCTGCACAGCTCTAGCATCCCCATGCAGAGAGAATTATTGTCCCTTTTTCTTTCACTTCTGCTTCAGTCAAAAATTGTGCGACTCCGGGGGTTTTCCTTGGGTCACTGAAATCTTGCTTCAGTCTAGACGTGTGCTGCACTAACTGACAACAACTTGAGTAGTCAGTAAATAAGCCTGCCTGCTGCTTCATGGGCCGTTTTCCAACTGTGAGGCACTTACACTACACCAGGACACTGAAGAGAGCAGGAAGGTTAATTTGTGTCAGTCAAGCCACATAGCTGTAGCTCCATGGAATATGACATGGAACAAAAGGAAGAGACACTGTCGAGGCTGATAGGCCTAAAATTAGACCCACTGGCTTTAGTTTGGTTTTCAAGTGCATGCACATCATGTCAGCCCTCCTGCCTGCCTGTCTGGCTCCTGGAAGCATTGAGGGAAGTGAAATGTACTAGGATCCTGCTCTGCGTGGGTTTGCTGTTGCTTGATCACCCTTCTGAGAAGCTGTGATTTCATGTAGATTATAACCCTGGTTTTGGAGTTGCTGAGCTGATTTTCCAAGACACGGGATTTTTTTTTTTGTAAATGTTATTTTTAGGTTAGGTTCAGTTTTGGGCCTGTGGACCTGGATGGTTTCTCTTCAGAATAAAAGCTCCTGTAGTTTTGCCTAGAAGAAGTATCTTTACTTACCTAATACTTAATAATATTGGCTCCAAACTTCTGATCACGTTAGTAATGTAAAATTCTCTTGATTATCCAACACCAATTAACGAAAAGTTAAACTCCTGGTGTGAAATCCAGGCCCAACTGAAGTCAGTGAGAGTTTTCCTTTTGATTTCAGTAGGGCCTGGATTGACTCTAACATGAACTTATTCTGAAGAAGGTGCAATGCTGAATTTTCCTCCATTGTTCACTTATTGTCAATAAATAGATAGGTTTTAGAAATAAACCTAATTAGACCTTCTAGATTCAGACCTTAGTGTACTCAGACCTCCACTGTGCTTGCTTTTGGCCATCTGGATGGTCCTAACATCTGACTGGAATGCTCAGCATACTTGATTAACAAGAAACAGTTTCCAGGTAGTCACGTATTTAAAGAAAAAGCCCGATGACCTCATGCAATTACATGTCTGAAGAGTGGATACAATTAAGTGTTTTCTATTTACCTTTTCACCATTTTGAATCATTTTAACAAGTTGGGATGTATTCCCTATGTAGCTCTGGTAGTAGGATATCCCTAATGTCTTTCAGAATAGTAAAAGAGTCATATGTTTCTTTTGAACTATACCCTCTGTATTTGCATGCTCAATTATCATGAGGATACATGCAAATCCAATAACTGGTCCTGCAAATGGCTAGTTACTCATATAACTTACTTATGTATCCAGGTACAGGAATGTGGACACACAGTTGCATGTGCATTTTTGCTCAAAAATGTCAAGTATCCAGCTTTGAAACTTTGCTCCATAAAAACCTGGAAAACAGAGAAGGCACCATCCTGGATGAACATTCTGCCTCTAGCAAGGGCTTTCAAAATCCATAATGAATCTAGCCACTTCTTCATTATTTAACACATGGAAAAAATCCTTTCTGATTCTTGCAGGGATCAACTTATGCACGAGCTTTGATTACCACTATGTTAGCATGGATAACTTCTGCACTAGTGGTATAACGGGACATAAAATTAGCCAGTCTTTTTATTTGCTGCAGAGTGTAGTTATCTCTCAGAGCTCACGTGCCTTTGTTTATATGACTGTCCTCTCCCGGAGAAAGGCAGTTATAAATGCTAAAAGCAAACTCTTTATTTGGGGGGAGATGAAATTAGAGAACTGGAAGTGTACTTCTTGGAGTTTGGCAATGAACACGTTTTCACAGACATTATCATTTGTGGGATTTTTGCCACAGCTGTTTTTAATTCATCCTGAAATTAGATTACAGGGGAAAAATGTAGAACGGGAAAAGGGAGAGGAAAGGAAAGAGGAGAGAGAGGTGCATCTGTTTCTTCAGTGACCTGTATTATTCTTCTGAGAGCCCCAACCACAGCTGGGGGCTGTGAGAGAGGTTGACACTGTTGTCTAGAAAGCTTTTGAGCAGTACTGTAAAGGAACACATCTGATTTGGCTTGCTTACCAGTTACTGCCTTATGTCTATCAGAAACTGGAAATATTATGAATATGAAGCCACATGTGTAAATATTGAAAGTAAGAATGAAAGAATCTGATGATGATTTGGGTTCTTAATTATTTTAGGAAACATTTTTCTATAAATACTAATATTAATTCCAAATATGGTTCCAACCATTGTAGAAATTCTGGTGGGGGTTGGGAACCCAGTTGGGTTTTTTTAGAAAATTATTCTGAATGCAATAAAAACATGTTTTGTTTGATAACTACACATCTTATGGTATGAAAAATAAACAAACATTTTAAAAAGTGACACTCTGGGTGCAATTTCTGGAGTTGGATTCTTCTGCAATGCTGCATTGTGGGCAGATTATAGATGGATTTTCTTTTTCAGCTGATGAGTTGTGCCTTTTCTTTCCTTCAGTCTGTTTCTCAGCTACCAGATTCTCTCCTATTTATCATGTTCAGGTCATCATTCAACCTCCTGTTCTCCCTTTCTGTCCGCCTCTCCCTCACCAACCTCTCACCCCACTGTCCACTGCTTTCTCTGTCTGATCCAAACATCCACTGTCCCCAAAATTCAAACATTTTTGCACAGTTGAAAATGTTCAGGTTTGTCACGAATACTTTTCCTTTTGACATACTGCTTCTTGGCTCTAGACAGAAACAGTGATAAGCACTTGAGCAGGTTTGACATTCCATCCTGTTGGATTGGTACTTCCCACGAGCACGCCAGTATGTTACAACACACTGAAGAATCGTTCCCAGATATTGAACACCACAAATAAGGCTCTTGTGGTGTTTTCCTCAAATGAAAACAAGAACGTGCCAGAAATCTCACAAGAATTCCTATATTTGTAATACCTTTTAGATCAATTATACAGACCCAAGATTGAACCTATGGATGTTAATTCAAACCAAACTTTGTGAGCGTTGCCCATAACCACTTCCCCCTAAAGCCTACCTTCTCTACTTGGCTACATCACAACACGTACATTTTTAACAGTGAGAGTAATTAACCATTGGAACATGTTGTGGAGTCACCATCACTAACAATTTTTAAATCAAGATTGGATTTTTTTAAAGGAATTATTTTGGGGAAGTTCTATGGCCAGTGTTATGCAGGACATCACACAAGATAATCACTGTGGTCCCTTCTGGCCTTGGAATCTGAGTCTATTTATTTGACTACACCACCTTCTGACTCCCATACAAACTTCCTCCATTCCTGCTTCTTACCACTATGTGCTCCTTTTGTGTAAACAAGCATCAACACCACTGTCCAGTTTTTAAAAGGGGCAATGTTGTTACATAGTTACACTTCAAAATATCAAACCTGTAAGGGATGTGAAATGTTCTCGGACGGGTTGTACTGGCTTGTACCTGTGGGCAGCACTGTCCTTGCTGGAGGGAATGTTAGATCTGTTCAGGTGTTTAGCACTGTTTAGTTTTTCTACCTTCCTGTGGCTGGCATATCAATAAAATCTTTTGTAACAAAACCACCTAGGTTGGGGCTTTATTACAAATGTAGGCATTTTCCTTCACTTGGATGATTCTATAAGCCACTTGCCTAGGCTGCCAACATGTGCAAATTTGCTCATGTGAAGAAGGCAACCATAAGCTAACTCGAATCTCTTTATTAACACCAACTTTACTTAAACTTCCTGAGTAGGAACTGAATTATGTTTTAAATGACGGTTCTCCTGCACTCAGACCACTTATTATGGCTACATCCCTTATTGTGGAAGGTGTTTGGTTTGCGTTTTTCCTCTGGACATGTACATTTTCAGAAGTTATTTTCATAGTAACTGCCTAAGACTTAGTTCTTTATGTTAGTGAACAAGTGCCATTAACTATGTTATTGTAAGGATAGATGCTTTAAGGTCTGAATTCGTGCCTCCCTG